GCAAGGACACCAGCACCTCAGTGCACTGAATTCTGCCAACAACTCCAATAAGCAAGAAAATGGATCCTCCTCCAGAGATTCCAGAAAGGATCGGAACGCAGCCCACCGACACCTTGATTTTAGCCCAGGGAGAACTATGTTGGTCTTATAACTTACAGAACTGTAGAGAACTGTACAGAACTTACAGAACTGCATTGTCCACTAAGTTTGTGGTCATTTGTTACCGCAGCAACAGGAACACACAGCAGATGAGTATGGGACTGGGAATCCAGGCACTGGAGTCCAGGGCACCCCCTTTAACGTTGCCATGGAGTCGATTCTAACTCACGGCGGCCCCACGTGTGTCAGAGTAGAACTGTGCTCCATGGGGTTTTTAATGGTTGAGTTTTTGGACATAGGTCACCAGACCTTTCTTCCAACGCACCTCTGGGTGGACTCAAACTTCCAACCTTTTGGTTAGCAGCCAAGCGCTTTCACCGTTTGCCCCACTCAGGGACTCCTTTAACCAGGACACATACTGCCTTAATGAACAGCCCCCTTCTACCCCTCCGTCCCTGGGACTTCCCTTCACCTGCTCCTTTGCTGCAGTCCCTGTTTCCTGGACCCCATGCTGCCTTTTTCTCAGTTCACATCCTCATTTTGCAATCCTACTCTCCATAACTTCCTGCAGTGGAAATCTTGGTCTTAACATGCCTGAAGACAGTCTGTCCTCAGGTTTCATTGCTAGATTGCCTGGGTGTGGAATGCTAGCCCGAAAATCTTCTCCCAGAAAGATCGTGGGCAGAACATGACCCTGCCAGCTTTGCATGCCCCTCTGCAGGGATCTGGGGGCAGCGGGGGCCCAGGGGTACGAATGGGAGCAGTGAGGTCAGGGAAGAGGCAGCTGGAAGGGCCTGCAGAGGCCGCGGCAGTGGAGGGGCTGCGGCCACAGACCCAGAGGGCCGCAGAGACTGCCGGGCACTGGGTCACATGGGGCCCAGAGAAGGGGGCAGCAGATGGGGAGGGTGGGGAGGCAGACGCGGCCATCTAGCCCTCCCTGCCCATTGCCCAGGTCCTCATGAGAATAGCCTGGGACGGATGTCACACTGGCCTGTGTCCCTCACTCCCAGTACTCTCCTTGTCCATGACATCCCCACCCCTTGGGCCTCAGGCTGATCAGTCTCTGGGTCCCCAGGGTTCAGCTCCTGCACCCCAAAGGTGGTGTTAGGGAGCATTTGCTGGAACATGAACCAGCCTATAAGTACATGGAGTTTCTGGTACTTTTGGCAGCCCCGAGTGGCCCTGACCAGCATCGCCTGGGGACTTGCTAGATATGTGAACCCTGGGTCCCATCAGCAAGCCGAGCTGTAGGAAGTCCCCCAAGTGTTTGACAGCCACTGGTTTAGACAACAGACCATCTGCCTTCTGAGTGAGCACCTGCTGTTTGGAGTGGGGCACACCCAAGTTCGAGACCCAGCTCTGCCCTTGACTTACTGTGTGGACCGAGGCAAGTCACTGCACCTCTCTGGGCCTCAGTCTCCTCGTCTGTAAATCAGCGCTCATCTGATGTGATGAGGTTTATAGGACCCACTGCAGGGACGGTGCCCAGCACAGGCCCAGTGTGGAACTGAAAAATGTCCATCCTGAGGCTGGTTGGAAACAGTGGGCTGAGAAGCTGCCTTGTCCCCTGATGGTGCTGCTGAGACCATGCCCCAGGCCTGGATTGGCTGGGATGAGCCTCATAGCTCAGCTGCAGGCTGGTATGTTCTGTCTTCCCAGCTGGCCACGGAGTCACCTCCATCTGCGTCTTGGGGCTCTGCTTGCTCTGCTGGGACCAACTGCAAGCACCAGAGCTCCTGGCCTGGAGGTCATGGGGGAAACCGAGGCCTGGAGAGGGACATGTGGCCTCCTGGGGTGAGGACAACCCACTCCTAGGCAGGCCCATCATCCCCACTTTACGAAAACTGAGGCTCAGGGGTGGTCAGGCTCTTGCTTGGGCTTCAGGTCGCCCCGGCTGGAGGTTCTCCCCCATCATCTGCCCCAGCCTGACCTCCTGCCCAGGTGGGAGTCAGGTGACCTGTTACGGATTGAATTATGTCTGCTAAAAATATGTGTCAACTTGGCTAGGCCATGATTCCCAGTATTGCGTGATTGTCCACCATTTTGTGATCTGATGTGATTTTCCTGTGTGTTGTAAATCCTACCTCTATAATGTTAATTGGGGCCCTGGTGGCGCAGTGGTTAAGCGTTTGGCCACTAACCAAAATGTCAGCAGTTGGAATCCATCAGCTGCTCCTTGGAAACCCCACGGGGCAGTTCTACTCTGTCCTATAGGGTTGCTATGAGTCGGAATTGACTCAACAGCAAAGAGTTTGGTTTTTGGTTTATAATGTTAATGGGGCAGGATTAGCGGCAGTTATGTTAATGAGGCAGGACTCAATCTACAAGATTTGGTTGTATTTTAAGTCAATCTCTTTTGAGATATAAAAGAGAGAAGTGAGCAGAGAGAGAGGGGGACCTCATACCACCAAGAAACAAGAGCCAGGAGACAACGCATCCTTTGGACCTGGGGTCCCTGTGCTGAGAAGCTTGACTGGGGAAGATCGATGACTAGGACCTTCTCCCAGAGCCAGGAAAGAGAAAGCCTTCCACTGGAGCTGGCACCCTGAATTTCGACTTCTAGCCTCCTAGACTGTGAGAGAATAAATTTCTGTTTGTTAAAGCCATTCATTTGTGGTATTTCTGTTACAGCAGCAGTAGATGACTAAGACACGACCCTTCACCGAAGGGGTGGAAACAGCTCAAGGAGCCGGGATTACTCCGCCCCTTAGGGCCTTGGGGAGTTGGGAGGTCCTTGTTTGTCTTCATTTCCTAAGACCCGCAGGCTGTGACCTCAGGAACCCAGCACACCCGCATCAGCAGCGCTGCTGCCCTTCCCCCCAGTGGCTTCTGGGCTCCCACTCCGTGTTAGAGAGACTTCTGCTCTGAGCCCAGCTCTTCATGTTTGTCCTGGCACCATAGTCTCACACACAGTAGGTGCTCAATAAACACTTGGTCAGTGCATGAGTTAGCCCACTGCAGGCCAGGGGCAGATAAACAGGAAGCAGGAGGCAGCTGATGCCCTGCCAGGAGGGGCTGCTCGCAGGCCAGGCCTCCCTCAGCCTCTCAACCACTTGCTCCATGACCATGGGCAAGCCTCTCTTTCCCCTCACATGGCCTCAGTTTCCCCCATGAGCAATGAGGGGGTTGGTCAGGTGGTCCACAGGGGCCCTTCTCAACCTCCCCATCCCTGTCCTGACAGATTGTGAGGGGTCCCCTCCAGATATGAAGGCCAGGCCAGGTGTGGGAAGAGGCCTTGCAGGTGTTCAGGCAGATGCGGCCCCTGCAGCCAAGCCTGGGATGCAGAGGCTGGCCATGTCCTCCGTCTGCAGGGACCACTGGGGAGCCAGATCCCTGCTGGCTCACTGACACTTCCTTAAGAGCCAGCAGTCAGCTCAGGGCCGCTGGGGACCCCTGAGGGTGATGTGAACGGTTGGTGGCAGCAGTGGTCCAGGGAGAGAAGGGGCAGTTTGGCGAGAGCGTGGCTGTGGGGAGGGGAAGGAAAGTGGGGCAAAGAGTCCTTGGTGGCTCAGCGTAGAGGGTGCAGGAGGGGGAGCCAAGGATGCCGAGGGTCCCAGCTGGGGGGCCGGGAGGATGGAGGTGTCACAGAGTGCCCGTTGCCTGACTCAAACCCTCCAGCTGGGAAGCCAGGCATCACTCTTGCCTTGAGAAACTGAGGTTCAGAGGGGCTGGGCGACTTGCCGAGGCTAGCTGAGGTTCCCAAGGCCACCCCCGTGGGCAGGACAGGAGAAGGAGGCGGGCAGTGAGGAGCCCTGTAGGATTTCCTACAGGATGGCTGAGGAACGGGGGAGGGGTTCGGGAATCAGGTGAGGGACTACAGGATTGGGCGTGGGGTCGCGGGGACGGAGTGAGGGGCTTTGGGAAATCAGGTAAGTGGCCGCAGGGACTGGTGCGGGGACCTGGGGATTGGGTGAGGGGCTGTGAGAAAGGACCTCCCAGAGTGGAGGTGACGGTGAACACCCAGGCTGTTTCATGGAACATTTGAGGTTGGAGCACCCCGGGCTCTCGTTTGCTCTTCACCCGCCAGCAGAGGGCAGCAGTGAAGGGGCTTGGCCTCGAAAATCCCACAGACCTGGGTGTGAATGGCAGTTCTGCTCACGGGACCTGAACCCCTCCCAGGTTTCCAAACCGGTTTCCTCTTCTGTAAAATGGGGGTAACCGACTGGGTGAGCTTACCACACCGGGTGCCCAGGACTGGCCGGCACAGCAGGCCCGGCCAGCTCGGGGCCATGGTCTCCACTGTGGTGTTTAGGCGGCTGGCTGGGGCCCTGGGAGCAGCTCAGGCCCTCGGGCACCAGGATCCTGCTTCCGGCTCCTCCACCCACCCTGTCCTACCCTGTCTCTGTGCTGTTCCCAGTGGACATGCGCGGGCTGCACGGGCAGAAGCTGGTACCCACCTGGAGCAGCAGGAAGCCCTGATGGGCTCTGGCCCCGCCTCAGAAGCCAGGAGAGCCATCATCCAACAGACACACGTCATCCAACAGACACCCACCTGCCTCACTGTGCTCCTCAGGAGGGCCCATGCCCACAGGGGGCACTATGCTGACGTGTGTGTGCGCGCGCGCGTGTGTGCACGTTTTCCAGTCCTGCTGCTCCGCCCCGGCGCAAGGAGCGAAGCGCCAGCCTGCGACCCACAGCGGGGCAAGTCCAGGTTGTGCAGGAGCAGGTTTCTGGGAGGGGGAAACCCCAGAGAAAACCCCAAGGGCACAGGTGCCTCAAACACCCACCCCCTGGCTTGGCAGGGGTGGTGGGACAGGGCCATGGCCCCTGGGCAGAGGACCTGTGCCCTGGCCTCACCCAGCTCCAACACTGGTAACCACCAATGAAGACACAGGTGCCACCAGGCCCACCACTGACATGAGGGTGGAGGCATACGCGCGACGGAGACATTTCCACGCACATGAGATCAACTGTTTATTGATTTTCTAAAATACTATATGTTTCAAGAAACGCCTAAACTTAAAAGACGTGACAATTTTTGGTAAATCTGTAGCATAGGTATGAGGATTTCTGCTGGTAAGTTTTCATGACAAACATGTACACATATTGACTTTCCAAGCAAGACATCGAGCTGACTGGAAACACTATCAATGCATAGCTTGTGCTGGCGGCGGCAGTAACTTCACCAGATCTGAGCCACACAAAATAGAGGGTCCCCTCTCGCCCTACTCTGCGATCACAGTGGAGCTTCCTGCCGCACACTTCTGCTTCTGGGGGACTGAGGATGCTTGGGAGACCCTGGTGCTGCAGATGAGACCCGGCCTTTGTTTGCTCACAAAGAATATGATGACTGCGAAATCTGCCACTGCTGGGAAGACACAGGAGTTTTTACAGTGTTCTGCTACGCATAGGGCGAAGGCTACTTAAACACGGGCCTCGCAGCTGGCCGGAGTGGATGCGATTTCACTACAGCCGGCTTCTCCACCTCAGAGCTTGGCCCACCAGCCAGACTCGTGTGCCAAGTTCATGGGCTTCAAGCAGTTTATGCATTATCGTATTTTTATGCAAATAACACGTGCTTTCTACGTTTATTTGCCAACTGCGCCCTCTCCTGGTGAGGTATATTCATAAGCACCGCTGCTATGTCAATTTTTTTTTTACACACAGCTGTAAAAAAAAAATAAATTAGCATAGTGAGCTTACAAAAATACCTTGTAGGGGGAGGGCGCAGTTGGCCAATAAACAGAAGGTGCGCGTTAGTTGGGTAAAATACGGCAAACCCACTGTCAAAAGCCATTCACTCTCATTAACACAGTAGACAAGCTCTTTAGATTCTCTGTATATCAAATAATATATACAGATATACACCAAGACATGATAGTCTAGTAGAAAGCATCTTAATCTATTTTACAGATACATTGGCTTGAAGTTGGTCTTCTTACTTTTAACCTTCCGAATCACTAAGGAAATTGTTAATCTGCAAAAGAGTCAAGTTTAAGCAAGAACAGAGTGAAAATGGTTTTTAAATATGGCAGCTTCTCCGAGTCCTACACAGGTTACTTCTGGGACGCGCATTCAAAGCTCCCGGACTTGAAGGGCATTCACAAGCAGATGGCTGCCATCTTTCTCGGCCTCTTGCCTCAAACATCATCCGTCTGAATAGGCTACATTTCCCACAGCTTAACCTGTGCAGTGCACGGGCGATTAACAGTACAACATGGAAATAGATCATTTTGTCAAGACTGGTGTACATCAATTTATGCCATAATTTAAGAATAAATGAATGGAGGAACAGGTATATAAAAAAGTATAACTGTACACAGCCTTTAAATTAAAAATCTCAAAATCTTCACTCAGAAAATGGCACGAGTTTGTTCATTTAGGATGGACGTGATGGGACACGTCGGAGACAGTGATCGGTGGAGCAGAAATCAGTGGTAACCACATTGGCTTGAGGAGAGAAGGAAAGACAAGGTAGAGAACATACAAATCCATAAACCAATGAGCACAGCCAGCGGGGGAGCGGGAGGGCCTGGCTATTTCTGTTGTACTTCGTCCTGTGCTCAGGCATCTCTGTGCGCTCTGGTAAAATGACCAACTCGTCTGCCTTCAAGGGACACCATGAAGCCAAGAGCAACGGAACCATCATCTTTTGCAGGAAAAGGAGTGGACGCCCCACATGGCCAGCTGGGAGTGCTGGAGGTGCCGCTGCAATGGGCCAACAGCTAACGGAGCTAACAGCTGTCTCTAGCCCCCCGCCAGCCTGCCCGCTGGCCCCAGTCACTGGATCGCCTCGACATAATTCGCCGGGTAGAGGCCAACGTGTCCGTTGTCCAGACGTCCTTTGCACCAGCCCTGCTCATCCTCGTCCTCTATCTTGGTCAGCTCGTCCCCTGCAAGACAAAGAGGGTGTGGGCTCATGGTGGGGGGTGAGTCAGAGAGCCGGCCTGCACACCTTAGCCCAGACCCAGACGGCTTCCGAGGTGCGAGGGGCACGCATTCTTCTGGCAGTTGGTGTGGCGAGGGCCCGCTTATTTCCCTATTAAACTGGCTCTCAGGCTGCTTTGTCATCGGACGGGCCTCTGAGGGATCTAAAGACGCACATGGCTCACATCAAGCCCTGAGCAAGTGGTCATCAGGGCTCCCATGGAGACAGGATTAATACTGCAGGATGTGTGCCCCCCC